AATTTCATTTATCGCAACTGAGATATAAGAATAGTATATGCTCCGAACAAATAAATTTTAATGAAAAACATACGCTTGGATGCGCATCAAAAGGATGAATTCGGAAATTTTTCCAGACGAAAAAAATAAAATCGGAGATTAAATGAAAAGAGAAGAAGAAATTTATTTTGCCAAAAAGATTATATTATTTATAAAATTAAATGCTTTCAAATGCACTTATAAAGGAATATATATTATGCCTATTTATACACTGTAAAAAATAAAATGTTAATTTTAATATTTTTGCATCTCTCAGAAAGTCCACTAAACGTCTGTAAGTTAAAATTATCATTTTATTTTTTACAGTGTATTCTTTGTAAATTCTAAATTAATTCGTTTTATCTTCGGAAATAATCTCAAATATCATAAAAGGGATTTATTATTATAATGGTTATGATTTATTTTGCATTTTTTATGCCGTAGTTTCCTGAAAATAATTCGCTGATTTTTGCGAAAGAGATTTCCATGGTGAAGGTGTCACGTGAGAGCAATATTATGACGTCTCTATCCAGCACCCTTTTTAAGAGATCGGCCACCCTCGAGCTCTTCACGCTTCATGCTAATTTCATCGATCTGATGTCGGCTTCTTCCTCTTGCGTCACGATTTCAGCCCTCGCTGCGTGTCCGCCTTTATGCGGGCCGCGCGCGGATGAAGGATAATATCTACGTTCCTTTTGTGCTATTCGCGTATCACATCGCACGATTCTGTATCCGTGCAAAAATGTGTCGGGAATCCCATTGTCGACGATGAGCCAATAAAACGCCACGAGTCCTCGTCCTACGTGCCTTTCATTATCCATCTGATTCTTTACAGATGAAATACCAGCGTTTAAAGCAACACTGAATTAATTTTGACTAATAAATAGCTTTTAGAGAAGTTTGTAGTATGTTTGTTTTAATTTTTTACGTTTTGATGAATTACAGTCCGTTTCAATTTAAATTGGAAGTCCACTTTGTTAGTGACTTCTCCACTCGCATCTTTGAAGCCCGTTTCATAAAAATTGGCTCTAAAGCAAACAACGTGTCATTAAAATTTAATGCAGAAGTGCGGTAGTTTATGCGTCTAGAAGAACCTTCCACTTTCGAGATTGGTCCAAGGAGGAAGTGTCGCGATATGGAAGTGCCTTGTGGTTTTGCAAAGCGCCTGCTTGGCTCGCCACAAAAGCGGGCTTATTGTGGTGTCGATTTCCACGGCACAACGATCTCTACGAATAATAACGAGGGTGACACACGTCATAAATATATCGCAACGATTGAGAAGCAGCCAGCACGATATTTGCGGTTTGACGTCAATCAAAAAACGGTCAAACAGCCCGGACACTCGATGTCACGCGAGGCGCCGATTGTCCCTTGACAGGCAGCCGTCGCTCGTTGGGTTTCTGGCTTTGTCGCCAAGTGCTTCTTTGTGCGCGACAACGACTTTTTTCATTGTGAATCGGTTTTGACATCGGCCAACTTCACTGGTGCAGCTTGGAATCATCGACGAAGCTTGCCTAATCTGGAAAATTGCATGGATTTCTGTGCTCCGATAAGCACATGATAGAAGTACAATTTAAAATCAAATATTTCTTAATATCATAAAAATAAAAAATAATAACATAAAATCAAGAAAAAATATTACATTTTCCACTTTATATAAAAGATATTCTTTACGTTTTATTAATTTAATTATTTATTGTGAAAGAACCCTAATCACACTTTTTGTCAACTTGAATACTTTTTATAATTTTGGTTTCAGAAGAGCATTGCATAGAAGTTCGTACTTTTTATTGTACTTGTAAAGGAATCAGTCTTATATACAATACTTTTTTTAAGAAGGTCGGACGTTTATAGTTAAATGAAGCGTAATGAAGTGTTTTTGATCCTCGTCATCTACCGGTCATCTATTCTATCCCCTTCTATATCACGGAGATTGCTAATTTGCTGACGGAAGGCATTTGAATCTTTGGAGATACGTGAAGGCAGGATGTTTCGGACATCGGTGGATGTTGGCGACAAGACGAGGGGTGAGTGCCGGTGACGTCTCTTTCGCGTCAGCGGCGGAGAGACACGACGAGATCGTGCGGTTGTGGTGGTGATAGTGGCCGTCGCGCGTCGTGGGCGCCGAGGGGGATGACGCTCCGCTCCGGTGGTGGGTCCGAGATGTCAGCTCGTTTCAACGCCGTGGTACCCTGACATCGGGTCTAACAAACCCCGGGGAACGAATATCTCCTATGACCGATCCGGCATTCTGTCGCTGGTACCGCCGTCATCCGGTTTATTTCTCTCGTGTCTCGTCGTGCCTTTTGATCCGATGCGTGCAATATAATCAAGATGTAACGAATAATCATGAAAAATTATCTGCCAGAACCGTTCATTCCAGAATTATCGACTGATAGGTTGCACTAGGATATTTTATGATCATTCGTAAAAGATCAGAATTTTATCGATTACATCGAAATATTAAAAATAGCGTGTTAATAGGAGTGATTAATTTGCTTTACTTTAAGCGTGCCATTAAATATGAAATTAAAAAGAATTTAATTTCAAGAACGCAAGACGAAAAAAATTAAGTATATAGGCAACGTTCAATGGAATGTTTATTTTATCAATTTTTTGTTGCAAATTTTTTTTATTAAAAGATAGGACTATTCTCTAAAAGTATAATCTAATCAGCGTGTGAAGAAAATTTCCAACAATTATAAAATAAATATTCTTCTAAGAGTGGCCATTATTTTTTACATTAAAGAATGCTCTATAATATTATTTTGTCATATTTATACGGAAAGAATGGTTTTACTGAAGTGTCTAAAAATTTAGCTAGATGCAGATTTGAAAATAATTTTGTTGAACCATTAAAATAATTATGTAGACTGCTTAATAAAGGGATTCTAAACTAAAAACGGAACGTCTCTTAGTTTCAATACGTTATGTTACAAATATTGCTCCAAAAAAAATTATATTGCCGCATTTATTTCTCAATCAAGCGAGTCTCGAAAGAACTCTTTCGTGAACATATTAATTCTTCGATACTCTTAACGACGGATCGAAATTGAAACATTTGTCCTTTTATTATGCCTTTAATACGGCGTCGCTTGCCGCGATGTGCGCGCGCGCGTGGCATAATACAAGAGTGTAAAGGAATAAATTGTAAAACTATCGGCAGCAGGAGGACCTGCCGCTTTAGTTTTGTGAGAATTCTTTTACGGCTCCGTCGGGATTTATACGAGCTGTAAGTGACAGAAGCGACGAACGCAGCCCGCGGAAGAAGACAAATAAAAGATACGAAAATAAAAAGAGCGACCCTGTCTTTAGGAGATCGTAAATTCTTCGCGCGCGTAGATATTTCATCGTGCTCGCATTCGCATATACACGCGCAAAATAAATGGTTTGATATGATGTCGCAAACAAAAGCTCGACTTTTAATTTTGTTTTCATTTTGCGCAAGAGAGTAAATACGGTTAAATAACAAATTTATTTCAGAATAAAAATTCAATAACACGATTGTGTGATAGAAAATATCTCTGAGAAATAATATTCGTCAACTTTCAACCTATTGATGTAAGTGGGAAAGGTAGAAAAAAAAAGTAAGAGAGAGAGTGAGAATTGAAAAGAAAGTGAGAAGAAGAATTAAAGATATAACTCGAAATTAAAAAATTAATAAAAAAAATACGCAATTGAATATTTTTAAAAAGAATTAGGAAATTAATAATATATGAAGTGTCTTTATAATTAACATACATAATAATTAAAAAATGAATAATGTACATATATATAGATACATCGCGACATGAAATTTGTTCTCACGTAGATTTCCCGTTGAAATCTTCATATCGCGACAGTATCGAACGCAATACATTGTAATGTGTATCTAATACTGCGGCGCTCACTTAAGAGTTAAGAGCGATCGCGAATTTCGGTACGCGGATGCATGCGTAGCGAGCGTTAACCCGAGCCGCAAACGCGCGAGTGCTTACGTACTTACGTCGGCAGAAGCCAAGTCCCCTTGGAGTGGCGCAGAGACGGATATAATTGAAGGCGGAGGTAATTAACTCCCTCGTGCAATGCGCCGTGCCCGCGCCGGCAGCCGCTCACCGCATCGTTTTAATTACCACTCTCGTCGCATTTCATCGGGCAGAAGCGCCTTCCTGCTTCTCTCCCTCTTTCCCGGAGGATCTTCATCATTCTCCGCACACTTCGTATTTATAATAAATCCGATACCATCGAGAAGAGGAGAGAGCGAGAATGAGTGAGAGAGAGGGAGAGAGAGAGAGAGAGAGAGAGAGAGAGAGAGAAATTTTATTATTGTTCTAGGGCAAACCCTCTATAAGGACATACAGATAAGTGAACAAGCATTCAGTAGCACAAATAAAAAAGTAAGAACAGTTAACAAACGTATGATACACAATATAAAGAAATATAATTAAAAAATACATAGATATAAAATAAATGAAATAAAGACGGTAATAATATAAGAAACGAGCAAGAACATAAAGAATATAATGAGTGGTATGATATAAATTTTCTTCACTCATTTATTTACCAGATATATATAAAATATATATGATGAAAATAAGAATAAGAATGTATAAATTTAAATTAAATTACAGTAAAAGAGCGATTAGAGAATTACTTAGCTATATTTCAGCTACAAGCTCTAGAAATAAATATAGTTAAAAGTTTATCTTTTATTTCTTTCCGACTAAATTAGTCTTTAATAGAGTTTTAATTTGAGTTTAATCTTTTTTCACAAATCCGATAATTTTACTCGAGATTATCGCTAAAAAGAGATTTCCGTTTCTCTGTATTCCTCGGTGCAATAAAAAGTATTGTTCGTACGTTCTTTGCTGTAAAATGCATCAAGCTATGCAAGATATATCGTAGATCAAAGGGTTCCAAGTTAGCACGTAGAATTTATTTGACTATGTCAGTACAACAATCAGCCTATTTTATATATCGATGAATGTGTGTCCGGATTGCAGGTGTCCTCGATCAACAGGGTACTGAGGAATCTGGCCGCGCAGAAGGAGCAGAGGCAGCAGCAACAGCAGCAACAAGGGGTGGGCGCCGTGGGGGTTGGCGTCGGTGCCGGCAGTCCGGCGGAGAGCGTTTACGATAAACTCAGGCTACTAAACGGACAGACTACCGGTTGGCCGCGACCCAATCCCTGGTAAAACTTATTAGCTTATTAGCAAACAAATTATGTGCTCGTTAGAATGGTATTATTATACAAAACACGTGCTCTTTAATCGAAGACAAGGATCAACTCTTTTTCGATTCTTTTTAACTTGATTTCAATTTTTCATCTTTAAAATTTAAGTTTAGGAGAAACAGTTGATTGCATAACGAATATAGGGATGGAGTTCTGGGATAACTTCCGTATAATCAAGTGGAATAAAATTTAAAATCTTCCGAATTCTCAGAAAGACTTTTTAATTTTCTGTTATAGATTATACATGAGTCCTTTTATTTTTTGAAATAATTTTCTTGATAGAATCTTATTTATAGCATGCGCAACATGTGTACTCTCTTGCTGAGAGCAGTCGTTATCTTAGGTATCCGTCGAGCGCGGGAAGTCCGTTTTCGTCGATACAATCTAGTTTGAGTCCGAGCCATTGTTCGTCTCTGCCACCGGATCCAGCGGATATATTGCACGCGAAGAAAGGTAAGTCTATATTTGAATAATTACTATGACACCTTTCTAGTGCACAGTGTTTTTACTCGATTTTTCCATAACACGGCTACTACGAAGAAATGAGATTCTTCGTCGAAATGTTCAATTGTATTATACAGTTTTTTAAAGGCATCTTGTATTTTTCGTCACTACTACATTTAGCCAAGCAAAAGGCTGTGCTCGCGTACACGACGAAAGTCTTCGACAATTGTTGGCGCACAATATATTCCAGTATGCTTTCTGTGTTGAAGCGCTAGCGTGAAACACAAATACGTGTGCGAGATGAGTGGCCACAGGCGGCAAGCGGGAGAGGTTCGTTTTAATTAATTAATCTGTCGGGCCAAACGATACTAATATCAATGTAATTCCGTCGGCGGGTCCCGCGGTTTGCCGCACGCATGTGTGCAACGCTTTTCCGGTAATAATTTTCCGGTAACGTTTAAGCGCGGCCTTCGAAGCGTGGAGGAACAGAGAAACGCGAAGTAAATCGGAGCGAACGAGAAAGAAAGAGACGGTTCGGGGTTGGCGGGGGATGCAGGGGATTGCGCAGAAACGTGGTTGCAGTCGACCGACCAACCCACGCGAAACTACTCCACCACCGACGGCATATTCCTCCTCCTCGCCCCTATCCCTCTCCTCTCTTTCTCTCTACCCCCGTGCGCGTTCTCTTTGGCGGCACATCAAACGCGTGCGATTTCTTTCCCCCGCATTTTCCCGCCATCATCACCGCTACAGCTCCGTGACGCAGGGTGCGTCAGGAACAGCGAAGAACAATTCCTTTGATTTTTTTTATTTATCACGACGCTTGCCCCGTCGATCTTGCCGGTCATGAGGAAAGACTTCCGATTCTGCCTGCTTGTGGATATAATTTGACGAAATGCAAATTATTTCACAATTATTCTATCAAATAACATGGGAAGAAATCTCCGGATCGTCTAAGTATTTTTTATAAAATATAATTATATAATTATAACGCATGTTATTTTTCTAGTAAATTTTGTTGAAAGAAGTTTAAATTATTTTGGCAATGATAATAAAAAATATGTACTTGAAATATCAAATATAAATTTACATTTTAATTTGCACGTTAATTAGCTTTATGACACAAATAATTTTATTTAAAATAATTACAAAATTTGCAGATTGTCGTACATCTTAATAAGTCATATTATATCTAAACTAACCCAGATCGTATAAACCAACGATAAATTTTATCATTAATTACTTATACGCTGTATATAACATATATAATTTATATAACTGATTATTACAACTGATATATTCTATAATTTGAAAACTAACATAACACAGAAACAACTTTTCAACTTTTTAAGCTCTATCAACAATTATATACTAATAATGTTAATCCTGCAGAAAAATAAAGAATTTGCGCGAGCGCAAAATCTTTACACAGTACAGAACTATTTCAGTACAGAATTATTTCGTATTACTTCGCGGTACAGCATATTATTTCGTATTCCGATCTTATAGAGGAGGGTAGGAGGGTACGCAATCAAATATGGTAACTGTTGCGAGCGTTCAACCGCATGCGGGCCCCGGGGGCCGGATTATCGATGCGTTGCTGCGGGGGTAGCACCGTTTATAGGATAACCCGTGTCAGGAGGGTTGTTTCACCCCTTCCGTCCTTTTCCCCCTTCGTCCTCTTGCAGTCATCTCTTTTCGCCTTCCCACCGACGTCTCTTCCTCTCTGTCGCTTATTCTCTCCTTGGAGATCTATCTCCCGCGTGTATCCTCCCTAAGTATCTCGACTGTTGTAGATGTATCGGTCGAAACGGAAGACCCAACAACGCCCCCGGCCAATCACGCGGCAGCTACCCCCCGTTCCTCGGAAAAGCAAAGCGAAAGCAGATTACGGCGCAATCATCACGCAAGTTGCAGGCGCCGCTCGTTCTCCCTTGTCCCGGCGAGAGGCGAGATTTTTCGATTTGGCCTGTTTCATACAGTACATTTTAAATTCTAGAAATCTACTTTAGAGGCTTAAGTTGGTATAATACGTTTTTATTTCAAGATCATCTTAAATAAAGTCTTAAGATGCCAATATGACTCTGTGGTCGGTATTCATAGTCAGATTTTATATTCAAGATCGTCTTAAGTTCAATCTTAAAATGTCATAAACAAATAACCCATTAAGGACCAAAACAATTTTTTGTCTCAAAATTTAAAATCCTTTTAACGGCAAGCTACCATGTCCTTAAAGAGCCTACTTGCCAAAAATTTCGTATCCCAAAGTTGACCTATTTTTTTTGGTCGAAAAATCGACCAGCGGTCGTTAATGGGTTAAGACGATCTTGCAATAAGAACCGACTATGAATACTGGCCTATGATTAACTTATGACATCTGAATTGTATTTATAATAAGAACGTCTTAAATATAAGAATGGACTATGAATACCGCTTTCAGAGTTTTTACTTTTCTTTGAAAATTTCACGCGATGCTAAAAAATTATTATTTCTTTCTTAAACTATATATGTATCTGTACTATATATAGTATATTCACTATGGAATGTTTATTTACGTATATTATCTGTAGATCGATTTTTATATAGTGATCGCAATATGATGAATTAAAATAATGAATAGATTTTAAATGCGTATTAATAAATGCAATAAGGGAAATGCATAAAGAAAGGATGATATTTATGAGAGACGATTTTTCATATCAATAACGTCGAAAATGAAAATCATCGGTACGACCTCTGTTTTTAACGACAGAAATCATTTTAATAAATTAGCTACAACGCAATATTCAAGCTAACCCTTCGTTGTCGCATCGTTCTAAGCACTCTCCTACGTACATACGCTCTTCAAAGAGAGTTATTTAAGTCTTCAGCGGTTCTCCCGATAATGTCGATACTTTTATAACGTCGAAGAGAAAAGAACGCACTTTCTTCGCACTTTCTATAAAGAGTTCATGTTAAAAGATCCAACTCAACAAGGACGAAGACATACTTTTTAATTTTTTACGCTTTCTGAGCGTCGTTGCTACTTTCATTTCCTTCTTGACGAGATATGGAAAATAGATCAACAGAACAAATTTCCCTTGAAATAATTATAATAGCTCGAGGAAAAAAGCTGTAGTTGCCTTGAAAGTGAGGTAATTCTGTCGCTCTTGCAAAGTCCTTTTAACATCATTTAATTGCGTAGTAATTACACGGAATAATAAACTAACAAAAATACGATACATCGTTACGACATATTCTGTTTTGCTTTTGCAATTTATTTGTAGAAATTTTGAAAAAAGTCTTTAAAAATGTTTTTATTCAAAAATGATTTCGAAGAATCAAATTTAATTAGAATAGCTGACAACTAATCAGAGATTTCATAATGTTCACTTAAATTTTAAAAAATTATGGTTTTTTTGCAAAATATTTACAATCTACATACAAGGATTTTTCATTTCCATAATGGATCATCTTATCTTTCCCATTTCCAATAATATTCAATAATTGAACGTGCGAGATCGATACGCTATTAATGCTCCAAGACATTGTGTAAGAAATATTTTCCGAATTAAATATAATCAGTTTAGCTTAGATATCATCGTGCACAGCTGTCGTCATGTTGTCGACGTCATCGGGTTGTCTAGTGAGTCTGATTCACAATGCATCCCGGGGTTGCATTGTATCGCGTTGCACGAGACCAAACGACACGACGTAGAGGCATGTAGAAGAATTTTCACCAGAGGATAGCGAGAAGGGAACAAGCAAGTGAAAGGGAAAGGAAGATAAAGAAAAGAAAGAGAAAAGACAGAAGACTGGCGAGATAAAGGGAGGAGAGAGATAAGAACGCGCAGAAAGGGTCTCCATCGTGATCGAGGCGAAAGGGGGTTCGAGTCGTTGCAGCATTGTTTTTTCACCTCCAAACCCTGCATGGGCGTCACTGCGGGGGAAACACGAGATCTCGAATACCTTTCTACGATTTCAATATCGCTGATACGCATACCGTGTACTACGTGAACATATTATTGACGATGTCGACGTGAGAGGACAATATGATAGCCGGAATTATTTTCGCCAATAATGTGAAATTCCCTTATCTTCATGCACAATTATATGAATACTTATACGTACGAAACTCTCTCGGTATAATGTACAAATGAATTTTATGTAAAACGAAAAAAGTTTAGTTGTACGTAAAAAAATTTTAATCGTCGATTTTTCCATAGTCGATAATTTTTCGTCATTTTTCTAGCTCTCAAGTCTTCATCTTGAATGCATTTCCAGCCGCGCTAATTCTGTTCTAATTCCGTTTCCAGTCATACGAAAGTCACAATAAAATTAAAGATAGGTAAAATTTAAGTGCGAAAATGATTGGTTCTGGATTTTAATCTATCTCGCGCATTCAATCTCTTTAAGTCGCGAAAGGCGGATTAACGCGCTTTCACCATTGGCGTCTCTGTCGTATTCGTTCAGCACGAGTCTCCCTTGCGAATCCCTTCTTCCGAGTGCTTCTGCTGTCTGCTCATCGAAGGCCCGTATTCAGCCTTCCGCGGCACATTCGCCGATCTCCGTCCGAGATGCAGAGGTAAAACAATAATAATGGCTGTCTGCTGCGCCTGGTACCACGGGATCGAGGGTGCACCGACAGCATTATTGTCGACCTTCTTTATCTCACGAGCCCGATCTCTCGCCCTCCATTCGTCATTCCTTTCGCTTCTTCTCTCTCCCGGTCTCCTTCGTTTTTCTTTGTCGAATTTTCTCCCGGGTTAGGTATAGATACATACCGCCGCAAAACGATGCGACAGCTTTTATCACCGACCGGCACAATGCGGTCTCTGGTTGTTCCTCCGTTCTAGTTGTCATCGTTGTTGCTACTGACGTTTTCCCACTTGTTCTTCCAACTCTCAGAGCTCCGTCAATACCACTCTTCATCGTTTTCTGATTCACATTAATAATGTGAGTTCTTATAAAAACTATATTAATCTCTTATAACCTTCTCTTAAGATATTGCCGACCTTATTGCCTTCCAA